GGTGTGAGAAGTTCAGTGCTGGACTTGTGACAGTTCCAGGCAACTGGGATGGCCAGTAAATGCCAGGTTATTTTTTGAAGTATCTTAAGTTTTACAGTGAAGGCCCCAGAAATTCTTGAACAACATTTCTAAGACTTAAAAATTATAATTTCCTGACCTTTGAGGATAGGGTTAGATCTGTCCCCCGGCACCCTGAAGGCTAGTTTCTGCCCTACCTTGTGACAAGCTGGGCACAGAAGATGCATGATAAGACAGGGTTGGGAAACGAAGAAGAAGAAGAAGCGGGGGGAGGGGAGGAGGAGGAGGAGGGAGTCCAGACGAGCCATCTTGGCACTGCGAGTAGGGCAGGATGTGGGCCTTCTTCAGCACAGCCAGATCCCCATGCCTTTCAATTTCAGACCTGGGCATGTGGTGCTTGGCCCAAGATGCGTATTTCACCATGTTGTAACCACTTGTTGATTGCGTGTCTTCCTGGCTAGAGAGAGGGACAATTGAAGACAAGGATCCCCAGGCTTAGAGCTGGGTCTGCTCCACCATACCGGCTCATCTGGGGACACAAGGGTGTGTGTGGACTTGAAACTCGTGTCTGATCCTCCTCCATGCAGCATGGAACTGGGCTCTGGGATCATCCTGGAAACCAGAGTCAGGGACCTCACACTGTAGAAGCCAACTCAGACAGCTCAGCTTCTAGGCTAATTCTCCAAAGGTTAGTCTGCCCTAGGGACTGTTCCAAGTCCTGGACATCAGATGCAAGAGTGAAGAGAACCCGGGGGCCTTTTTGTTAGCTTGCTTTCTGACTATTATGTGGCCTTAAATCTTCCTTATTTTTAAGGGGGAAGCCAGACAAATGGAAAAAATATATATATTGTTTTAGAAAGAGCAAACTACATTCAAGTCAGTGACGAGGTGTCTTCAGAAAAATTTCCAAGAATCTGTGCCAACCTTAGTAAAGTACAGCGGATGGAGAAGTAATTACCTTTATACAGCACTTACTTTGTGCAAGGCACATACGCACAGTGTTAGTTGTTGTTTTTGGAGATAGGGAGCTATGTAGTTCAGACTGGCCTTAAACTGACAATCCCCCCTGCCTCAGCCTCCCAAGTCCTGGAATTACAGGCATGAGCCACTCTGCTAAGCTAACAGCGCTAGTTTGTTTTCTTTTTGTGACAGGATCTCCTTACTTAGCTCTGGTTGGCTGGCTTTGAACTTGTGATCTTCCCTTCTGGACCTCTAGAGTTCTGGGATTATAGACATGAACTGCCATGCCTGACTAGTGCTAGTTTTGTACACGTCCAAATGAATCGATTTGACACCAATATATTATGAGGCTAATGATCATTTTCATTCATGGGTAAGGCCGAAATGCATTTTTATACTGTGTTTGGGGTCATACAGCTAAGAAGAGGCAGGGATGGGATTTGAAACAAGGTCTTTTAAACTCAAAAGTCTTTGCATGCTGTTACACCATCCTGACCCGTGTGGCCTGAAACCTTGGGCCTTCCTCCTGGGACACCAGCTATCTCTCAGTTTTCTGGTGTCACTCACATACTGAACACACCTGGGAAATACTGGGTTAGTTTTCAGGGAAAGACTACTAGCAGCATGGAGGAGGAGAGCACCATACTTTGGGGCTCCTTCTATTATTCCGGAGAAGAAACCCCATTTATAAATGTTAACACCAGCCATGGTTAGATTTCGCAGAATGAATTATTTACCAACAACAGACCAGGATTCCTTTCCTGTGGGCAGACAGCTGGTGCTCCCAGGCCCCATGGTGTGTCTGTTTTTTGCTTTTTTGTTTTTGTTTTTGTTTTTGTTTTTGTTTTTGTTTTTTTGAGGATCAGCGCCCTCTGCAGGGCGAAGTCAGAAAAGCCGAATTGCGGGAGGAAGGACAAAGTTTTGCTCTTTCTTGGTCTTGCTCATCTAAGTCCCTGCTGCAAAGGGCATTCAGACAAGGACTGTGAGCCTTGAGGAAGTGTCTTTTTTCTGGCCCAGCTCTGAGAGTGAAATGTCACAAAGCCCTGGGCTGGTGATGAAGTGAACGACCGGTCACCTCCAGTTCCTTTCTGCAAATGCTGGGTTGTTCCCAGGGTTGACTCTAAGGTGCTGGGTCCTGCTTCACACTCTTGAGATAATGGGGCCCCAGCCCCAGTCCAGCACCATGGGCTTCCCGCAGAAAGGCAGAACCAGTCGCATAGGGACTCGGTCCTTTCCTGTGCTTCCTCTGTTGAGATCCGAGGTGCAGGAAGACACGGTGGGAGCGCATGGCTCACCTCTTGCTCCAGCCCAGCTAGCAGGGGTGGGGAAAGAAGCTGAACATTTGTTCAACACCCACACTGGGTCACGGATTTCCTTTTCTCTCCTTTGCTTATTTCCAAGCCCTTCGTTGAGTTTATTTGTAAATGACTGGTGTTACTTTGCCTGTCTGGGAAGGAGCTGCAGCAGGGACACGAAGTGGCGACACCACCCAGACAGAGTCCGTGCCCGGCTCAGTGCTGAGCAGCGGGAATGTGTTCCCAGGCTCCCAATCTCCAGCGATTTAGGAAGCTAGGCTGTGCTACCGAGTCTAGGAAGTCTTGTGAGTTGGACCCTACGTAAGCAACTATTTGCTGGGCTTTGGTTTCATACCTGCATTACAGGCACCATGTTGGAGCCACAATTCAATGGCTACATCTTTGCCCTCTTCCCACACCTGAGGCCTTGGCTTGGTAATGGAAGCAGACGACCCAGCCCCATTTCCTCCCGCCATGTGGGTTCTAGCCTGTGGGTTCAAGTTGCCCGTGAAAGCACCTGTATCTGTCTGCTTTCTGGCCTTTCTGGAGGCAGGGGCTCATTATGGCCGCAGGCACAGCAAGCTGGAAGTGTCAGGAGTGCTGCCCCTCTCCAGCAGCCCTCAATCCTGACTGGTACCACACCCACTGTAGCATTTACAGCACTCAAAGAATCACAGCACGCAGCATACCCAGAAGAGCACACTGAGGCAGTGCTCACCAGCCTCCTTGCTGATTCTAAGGACCACAAGTTTCATGAAGGCCAAGAGTGTGTCTTGCTGAGTTCTCCAAATACATTCTTAGTTACAGAAAAGGATTCTCTAAAAGCATTGTACTGGGGAGGTGAAATAGAAGTCACTGCAATCCAGTTCTCAGTCTGAGCAGATTCAAATTGTTGCATTCAGATTGCAGTCTCTTCCATTCAACTCTGGTACCAAAGCACAGGTTTTATATTAGTAATCTCTTGCTGTGTAACAAGTAGACCCCAATTTCATGGTTTAAAACAATACTCATTTATTGCCATTTATGCTGATATTGGGCCAGGAATTTGGAGGTGCCTTCTTAAGTGGCAGCTCAGAGTCTCTCATCAGATTAGAGCCAGGTGCTGGGCAGGGTTTCAGTCACTGAGGGGCTTCTCTGACAGAGGTGCCTCTTCTAGGGCTGCTTCCTTATGCAGCCCTTGGTGAGCTACCCAGTGAGCCTCTCTGTAGAGCTGGGGAGTGCTCTCCCTGCATGGTAGGTCCTTCCCTGAGTGAGCAATCCACAAGGCCAAGGTGGAAACTACAATGCCTTTTCCAACTGAGGCCCAGGGATCATACTCTGTCATTTGTATTGTGTCCTGTTGGTCACACACATCAGTCCTAATTCAGTGAGGGAGGAGACTACTGAGAGCATGAACACAGGAAGTGAGCATCAGGAGGCGCCATCTTGGGGGGAACTACACAATGGCATGAATACAGGAAGTGAGCATCAGGAGGCGCCATCTTGGGGGGAACTACAGAAGGGCATGAATACAGGAAGTGAGGATCAGGGGATGCCATCTTGGGGGGGAACCACACAAGGGCATGAATCCTAGGAAGTGAGGATCAGGACATGATGCCTTGGAGGTTGGTTTCCACTGGTGTAGGAAAAAGTACAATCTGTAAGAGATTTAGGTGAGAAATATATGGAACAACAACGGGTGCAAATTATACTGGGAAGTGGCTGGTGATTTGATACCAGAAACATTTAAAGTGTTTTTCTCATTCTGTGATTTCCCATAAAGCTGTTTACCACATCAGGAAATGACCTTTTTGTCAGACAGTCTACAACCCACAGTGAGGTTTGGCCTTGATGTAGACCTGGAAACTCCTTAGAAATGTGTACATCACTTTGTGCTTCAACAAAACAGATCTGCGTCTGCTGAGGGGCAGACCACTCTCAGATGGCTGGCCTTTGACTAAAACGCTAAAATCCACTCCACTATTTCCCAGGCGTGGAAGTCAGAATCTTGAGCTCAAGAGTCAGGCCACCATATGGTCTGAGGACTGCTACCTGAGGGCATGTCGTGGACCAGGATATGGCCACACAGTGGAGCCCTTTATTCCACTGTGGGCACAGGGATTGCTTCAGGACTCACTTCCTGGACGGGAAGGTCCTACCACCTGGTGACAAGTCTTTCCAAAATAAATACACTTCTACTCAGCCCTCCCAGGCCTGGTGCCGAGTCCCAGCTGCTGGGAACAGAAGTGGCCCAAGGTCTCTGTGTCAGTGCCAATGGTACCTGCTTCTATGGGGCTCTTGCACACATTAAGTTCTGTTACCAAAGGTCAAGTTCCTACTGCAGAAACGAAACAGCAAACAAGCAAACAAAAACCTTAGGCAGCAATATTGAAAGGAAGCAGAGAAAATGAAATAGCAGCAATTTAGCATGGCAAGGTTTATGGAGTGGACACAGCTGTAACCTGACTTGGCCACTCTTGTGGGAAGAAGTCTTTTAAGCCATTGGAAAACAACTACGTAACAATGCTATGATACGTTTGCTTTGTGTACAATAGATTAAAATCCGTGACCTTTTAGTTTTCTCAGAATAACTTTCTGAGGTCAATATTATTTTTTCCTTGGCCATGCTAACCCTTCTTTTTCTCCTTCTCTGATTTTATTTATTTATTTATTTTTCATACAGCTAGTTACTATTAGTCATTATGTCCTATTTATAATACTTGCTTTCTTTTATTGTCTGTTTTCCAGACTAAAAGATGAGCTCCCTGCGAGCGCACAGTTTACTTCCTGTTGTTTGCCACATTCCTGAGCCTGGCAAATCTACAGCAGTAAATATGAAAAACAAACAAACAAAAGAAAAGAAAAAAAAAAAACCTTTAGCATCAAGTTGGCTGTGAAAAACGAAGTGCCCCCTCCCCAGCCTTCTGAGTTCAAATCCATGCACTTTTCGTCATGCTGTACTGCCTCTCTGTTTCCTGTGTCAAGAGCCCAAAACCCAAATTTTAGGAAAATGAAGCCACAAAACTGCAAAGCAGGAAAATGAGGAGCTCCGCAAGAACCCAGGTCTCCTGATGTCAGGTGACTCAGGCTGTTCTTGCTGTCACAGGCAAGCTGAGGATTGTGCCCCCAGATACGAAGTGAAAGCTGAAGCTAGACTCTGTTCTTGCTTTTCCAGCATGGCATGGTGGCCCTCGAGTTCATGGGTTTGTAAGTATGTGGCGTGTGGATCTCAGAGCTGTGCAACCAGCCCTTCTCTGTGCTCAGGCCACCTCCGCTGGACACAGCTTCAAAGGCGAGAGTATGGAGGCAGCGGCATGTGACCACCAGGTCTGCTCAGACACAGTTATCTGAGTTGCCATGTGCGAAGCACCCATGCTAAAGCTCAAAGCCCGATACCCGACTCAGCACAGAAGCAAAGTCCCCTGGAGGGCAGAAAGGTTCTCATCCCTTCTTATGCCTTTTGGGTCATGTAACAATTCCACATCCCTCTGCAGTGTCACCAGGTGAAGCCGACGGCCCACTGCCTGATTTCTCCTTTGCCTCTATGCTTCCATCTCTCCTGAGAGCCTGAGTAAACACCCAGGAGCTATGGTTGTCAAGCCAGGGGTGCTCCAATGAGGACCCCTTCTGGCCTTTTGTATGTAGGGTTGAGAATGCCAGAACCCACCAGCTGACAGGCGGCCCTTTCAGATTCCTCCTGGAAACAGCTTGTTTTGGGTGGTCTGGAGGACCATGCCCATCTCTGCCCTGTGAACCTCCTTTCTGCTCTCACCACAGGGAGGACAGAAACAGCGCTGCTGATGCACTGCTTGTGAATGGCTGCAGCCAGGCTGGAAAGAAAAGAAGGGTTTGTTTGGTGGTTTGCTCTCTGCATACTGAGTCAACTGACTGCACAGTGTAAATTGCCCCCCCCCACATTTGCCTTTCTCCCAGGTGATTTTGTCCTCTGGGGAGACAGAACCAATGGAAAGAGTGAGGCACTGGAATGAGAGTTCAAATCCCAGGTCTGTCCTGCTGTAGATGACTGCAAAACCTTAGTGAGTTGCTAACTTTTCAAATCTTTTTTTTTTGTGGTTTCATCTGTGAATCAGGTATAGTAAAAACTAGTTGCAGGGTTGCTGTTACATTGAATAATGTGACCATGGTAGCAGGGTCTCCATACATAGCAGTGTACATTCTTTGCACTCACATTCTTGGTTAAGTGTCATGGTAGGGTCAGGATTAGGGTAGCCAGGGACTAATTGAATGCAGTGGAGAAGAGGCAGCAAAAATCTTTATGACTTTGAACTAGACAGCCTGCTGGGGGTGGGGCTTTAGTTTTTACATCTTACAAGAAAAAAATACCATTTTCACTTAAAGATTAATGAACTAGCATTTTGGATAACACACTGTATTAGTTTTCTTGAAACACAAATTCTCACAACTTGATGTTCAGATAATGGATTTTACAAAGAAGGAAATGGAACCCCAGAGAAGTTAAGAAATTTGACCCAAATCATAAGACTAGTGAGTGTAAGGTTAGAATTGGTACTTAGATCTGCTAGTATTTTTACATACAGCGTTTACTGAATAAGATGTGGTATTAGAATTTAGTAAGTGCTAGCTTTATTACTGTAAGTGAGTGCTTGGAAGTGTTGATTATATTTTAAATATAGGGCTGAGTGATTGGAGTACAAAGAAAATAAGAAATAATTTCCGACCTTGAGGGACTGGAAATCTATTAAGGATCCTGTGTTCTTGTGCACATCAAAATTCCCTTCCTAAAATAGAAGTGATATTCTTGCTACAATAAAATGGCATTAAAATCAAATGAGTATTTCATCCAGAGAAGGAGGAAGGAAAATAGAAGGAGATCCCAAAGCATTGAGAAGATAAAATGAATATAAAAGGAGCTTGGAAAATAAATCATACTTTAGATCCGAGGCTGTATTGGTATTGCTTTGTTGTTGTCAGGGTTGCTTTTATCATTGATAGAGACCACAGCTGAATCTAAAGTGGCAGAGTCCATTCAGAGAGAAAAAAGTTCACTCCTACTAGAAGGCATCGTGAGAACAAGAGCTCTGGAAATTCAGAGGAGGGAGCTCCAGGGTAATGCCCCAGGTTGCCTGGACAGGAGAGATCTCTAGATTAAAACGAAGGACCTTGAGGGTGATGTATCTTCGCAAGATGACTGCATAGGAAGACCAGGGCTTTAAATCACCTACTCTACCTTGGGAGAGGGGGCTGGATAGCAAAACACAAGTTCGTTACATCTCTGCAGACAAGAAAATTAGAGTTGACTGAAGTTTAGAGTTGAAACAGAGGGAGAGGTGAAGAAGACCAGACATTTCCAAGTTTTGAGTGGAAGTGGAGAGGAAACAAGGATTAGACTGAGTTTGACATTTATTTCCTCCCTTATCGAGAAGCGTCATTTCAGGCAAATTACTTTGAACCTTTCTGAGCTGGAGGTTGAGAACAAACAGATTGAGAACAAAGACATTGGCATGGAAGTAGAGTGAAATAGAGTAAGGATACTGCTGAGTCCAGACCTGAGCATTTTTCTGTTTCTGTTTTTTTTTTTTTCTGTCAGTTGTGCTATTGATTTGAACCTCTTCTTTTCCAGGGTAAAGCCAATAGGCATATTATGGTTAGCAGGATAGGAGGAAAGGAAAATTTTATAGACTTCTTGTTGTGGAAGCAAACTGTCACCTGCTTCAAAAGCAGGGCTAGTAGACTGTCACAGTGCCTAGAACTTAGAAGGCAGGGCAAAAATATTCATTAAGCTGAAAATAGGATTGGGTTGTCAAGAAAACTTTAGCCTCTTTTACTATACACCCTACACTGGAAGAAATATGTCTACATCATCTGAGAGAGTTCTACTTCTTCCTGGCCAAGTAGTTTCTATTGAGCTGACTCTCGTAAAGACCAGACCAGAAACAGTGGCAACTTTACTGTTTTGATTACTTTTCTTGTCGCTGACACAAAATACACTATACCTAAAGTTAAGGGAGGAAAGGTTTATTGTAGCTCACAGCTTGCAGAGGTTTCAGTTCATAGTTGGCTGGCTCCAAGAGAGGGAGGGCAACATTGCAGAGGGGAAACATTTCATGGTAGGCAAAAAGCAGCAAGCAGCAAGCAGCAAGCAGCAACACTGCTTCTCCTCTGTCCCTTGTATTTTATCCAGGCTACTTCCCCTTAGGGCAGGTAGCACTCACACCCAGAGTGCTAAAGGTTGCACTCTTAATCCTACCCAGAACTAGGCCAAACCAATCAGGGGTTAATTTAGTAATCACCCACCCTGAGCCCAGTATCATGCATGCTAGATCCAGACACCTCTGAGAAGTCCCACCTATGACCACACAAGGCGTTGGGGGAACACCTAGATACAATTCATAGCAATTACTTTTAACAACCAATTACCTGCAGGCATGAGAGAGTAAAGAAAAATATACAGGGATTGGAAGAGAGCTGATTCAATGTGAGAAGTGCTGAGTACATTGTCTTTTTATATTTATTTTTTCAAGGTTGTTTTCAGCTTTCCACATGAGGGCAAGTTCCAGCTTGTACCCTGTGGGGTGAACTAAACTAGTGGAAAAGGATGTCTTACTGGCCCCAAGAACCAAAGGACAGAATTCAAGGTGAATGAAGTTCCTGGAAAGCAAGGAGAAAATCCTGAAAAGGAAGGAGCCAAAGGAAATCTATTCATAAATTGCCTGAATCTCTGACTGACCTCTGAACCATATGCGCACACAGGGAATTGTCTCAAAAACAGCAAAACAAAAGTCACTACTCTTCAGAGGAATACAACAGAATCCAGAGTTTCTATAACATATTTTTTACAGTGTCTGGAACATAATCCAAAATTAATAGATGTCTGAAGAAATAGAAAAACGTGTTCATATGGAAAAAAAATTATAACAACATAATATAGGATTTATAATGTGTGTAGATCTAATATAGATTAGAACCATAGCATAAATCCCATGGGCTTTTAAATTTAAGACAAACTCGGACAATATTAACTCTTGGTTGGCTGTGAAACATTAAGAATATATATTGTAATCCTGCAAATCAACCTGGCAAAAAAGTAAAATAAGTAAATGGAATAGGAGTATCAGCTTTATTCGATTTGCCCCTTTCAGATATATTTCTACTACAGATTTTCAGGCCCACCCAATAGCTGTCTCGATTTCAAACCACAGAATAAAAGGATAGCTGAATCCAGACAGGGAGAGCTCCAGTGCCTCCCTGGAGACCTGACCTCTCCAACCTTCATGAGAACAAGAAGAAAAGAAAGGGAATTCAGGAGGGACATCCCGGTTCAGGGGCATGAGCAAGGCTGGTGGCATGTCAGCAGAAAAGGGCAGGGTTACTGAGTGGAATGACTGGAAATACACAAAGAATGTTAGGTGTGAAGCTGCTTCCGGAAGCAGGTGTCTCCTAAGGCCCACCGCTACCAATTGGCACATTAAACTAATTTGGGTAAACAAGCAGCGAAGACTTTTTCTGACAACACTTCTGATTCTTCTGAGCTACTGCAGAAGGCCCGAAAAGACCAAGCAACGTCACAGTTGTCTCACCCGGCATGCTCTGTGTCAGCCTGCGCTGGTGCGTCAGGGAGGAGCAGCGAAAGTGACGTGACCTGACGTCAACCCCTCCGTTGAGCGGTCTCACGCTCCCTTGGGACACAGTTTCCAAGCCAGCCGGGATTATTTCACAATCCATAGCCAAGAAGGCATGAAGGTACCCGAGAAGACCATACTACGTTAGCCACAGATTCCACATTCATTTTGTGTAGACGAAAGAATTGCGAAGACCGGAGGAGTTTGACGGATACAAATTATCCGAGTTTGACGGATACAAATTATCCGGAGCTCTAAACCGTATGGAAGCGGACTGAAAGTCCTTCCCGTGGTTTCCTGGAGTCAGCACGCCCGACTCAGCCCTGAAGGTGACCACATCTGGCCTGGTTCTGACTCAGCACCCGCAGCAAGTGTGCCCTTGCTGAAAGGGATTATGGCTTGAGAACGAGCGCCTTCTTCAGAGCTGGCCTCGGGGGAGAGGGTTGGGAGAGAGGCTAAAGTAACGACGTGGGTCCGGGATTTTATTTCCAAACGTTTACTGGTCTATTTACAGGGTACAGATGCAGAGCAGGGTGAGGTGGGTATGGGAGGGCTGCAGGGCTTCCCTTGCCCTCTCTGGTCGTGCCAACCTCAGGGACCTTCACATGGTTAGGTCTGCAGAGACTTCCTGTGACCCTTCCTTTTGGGTGTTTGAGGAGATCTCATGACCTACCGTGATCACATCCTTGGACCTTGGTAATGGGCTTCACCTGCAGCTAAGGGCAGGCCTAGAAGTACAGCCCTGGCTGACGCTGTGGGCTGTTATATCATTGGGTTCTATAAGCCAGAAGAGTAAGGGCACAAGAGAGAGAGAGAGAAAAAAAAACAAAACTCCACAGTAAATCAAAATAAGCATTTGTAAAATCAAAACTCACAATGAATAAAATACCACAATTTTCCTTCAAGGCAGGCTATAGCTCCTTGTTTTATGACCCTGTGTTACGGGGTGAAAAGGAAGGCTTGTCATTCATCAGTCCCTGACTTCCCACGAGACCCAGGCCTTCGTTTCTACACCAGCAAAACGAAGTGGTTCTCAGACTTTTTCCTGGGAGCACCCTGTCCCAATAGACCTTGTGTAGAAGCCAGGGCTCATCTGTTTGAACTTGGGGTGTGTGCTCCGGTCTGAATGTATGGGCACCCCACCCCCCAAATTCACAAGGTGAAATCCTACCCTCAAGGCGATGGTATTAGAAGGTGGAGTCTCTGGGGATGCTTAGGTTCAGGGGTGGTTACGGTTAGCGTCCCCATGAAGAGGCCCAGAAGAGGCCCCTGCCCCTTCCACCCTGTGAGGACACAGCAGGAGGTTGGTGTGTGCTGGAAAGCAGCTCGCACTGGTTGCTTGGCCCTCTCAGCCTCCTGTGTTGCGAGAAATACTTGCGTCTCATCTGATTCCTTGTTTATGTATGGTACATTGTTCCAGCTGCCCCAGTGGACTTGGCGTGGGAAACCCAGTCCTGTACCTGGTGAGCTTTGCTGACCCCAGCACTGGCCTCTGTGGACCCCTCCTCTGCCACGCTCCTCAGAGAACAGCTGGAACACAGAATTAGAGGAAAGATGGATGCCCATTCTGGTTCTAATGTTCTCTTCCGGCCCAGGAGAAAGCCCTGCCTGTGCTGCATGTTGAAATCTGACTGAAATGTTTATCCACATCAAGAAGCCAGCAGAGCCTCCCGCTGTTGTCTGAGCTTCAGGGTGCGTCCCCCTCTGTCTCGGGCCCCTCCCGCCTGCAGGGCCCTGGGATTAGCAGAAACAGCGGGAGGATTTCATCAGTCTCGGCTGGCTGGTGCAGTTCACAGAGGACAGTGCTCACTGCCAGGCTTTAACAAGAAGCAGGCGCCCTGGGGACGCTGACAAATGTCTGGGGCTGTCTGCACAGGGCCAGCAGCCAGTGGCAGCCAGCTGGGCTCAACCTGCTGATATGTGACAGTCCCAGACCTGAGAAACAACCCAGCACTGAGAGTGAGGAGGTCCCCATGGTCTTCAGAACCACAGTGAACCCCATCACCCGCAGTAGCGTCGTCATCATCCTGACCACGGGCCCTGTTCCTCCCCTGTCACAGGCCTTCGGAGCTTCGTAGTCTACTCTGAAGATGCAGGTGACAGGGGGCGGGAGCGTGTGGGGGAACCACGGAGACCGTCAGGGACCCTGCGTCTTCCTCTCATTGCCATGTGACCTGAGCCAGGGTTCCAGCTGCCTACACTTCGAGTTTCTTTGCCAAACAATGGAAATATAGCACCCACCACAGCTATGGTGAGCAGCATACATGGGATTATGTAAAACAGGGCATACAGCAGGTGCTCAGTAAACGATGCCCCCCCGCTTTAGTGTGGCTCCCACCTTCTTGAAGAAATGGAGCAAGAAAAAATGTCTTCTTAAATCAACTTTGAGACCTGTTGTGTGGGATGATGCTGATTAATCTTTGTCTTTTTCTCTTTTTTGAGTTTTCTACAGTAAACATGTATCAGGACGTTTTAAGGAGTCTAATGCTTGGGCAAAATTGGGGTTCAGAAAAACAGTGGTCCTCATATCCCTTCAAAAGGATCATTTTTCTCAAACATAAAAACTTTCCTAAAACTGCATTTTTGAAAAGACCAAAACCCAACATAAGTAGATAAAGTAAAAAAAAGAAAGGACAACTCATAAAAATGGGAATTGAAATGATCCTTAAACATATAAAATAATATTCACCATCACTCAGAGTAAGATCAGTGTAAATGGAGATGGTCCAGAGATACCATTTTTTTAACAATCAAATTTGTCAAATTACAGCAGTTTGATGATACATTGTGTCAAACCGATATACGGTTCTAGGGAGAGTAAGCTAATGTTTCCCTACATTACAGATACATATGAAGCCTTTAAAATATCTCCTGGCAACAAAGTGACAAGGCAGGGTATAGCCAGTGTGGAAAATAAGCTGCCTTTTGCCAGATAGGAAGGCAAACAGGACAACATATATTTTTACTTGCCTCGTAAGCCACAAAATCCCGGAAACATATGCTGAGAAAAGTGGTGAACACTGGGCAGATGGCAGAGTAGAAAGTAGATTTTCTACTGTATATAATTTTACGCTGTATCATTTTTTAATCTTTACTTCTTTTAAATTTAAAATATTTTTAGTTTAGAAATGATTTAAAATAAAAAGATCGTGATGGTGGCAAAGGGGCTAAACACTGAGTGCCGTCGCATATATTAGTTTGTAAATAAAGACCATAGAAGATTTTAAAAAGATAAACCACTTTCCAACTTCAGGAACTTTATTCCTGCAAGATAGTTTCTCCAGTCTCAGGCTCCTGCTAATACCATGTGATGTGGGAGCTGAGGATCTCCGTCTAGCATTTGCTCACATGGTGATTTGTAAGGAAAATGTTTTGTTTTCTTTTCATCCTGAGGTGGTTTACTAAGCAGTCCCAGGTCCCCTTACTGAGCCCGCGTATCTATGCTCACCTGGGCAGGTGTGGGCTGCCAACAACGACACCTGTTCCCTTCTCCCTCAGAGACTGGCCCGGGTTAACTGGAACCTCAGGGATGATCCTGCTCCTCTGCCCCAGGGGCTGCCTAGGACTCATGGCTGCCACAAAAGTGGTCCCTGCTTCAAGCAGAAACAGTGCCGTCACATGGTTCACAAGCCAGAGCTCCCCAAGAGTCCGGATTGACGCAGAGCTCAGGTGAGCCTGCTCCTTGTTCAGTTCCTTCCCTGCCTTGCCTCCTGTCCACTCCCTCTTTCCCCAGAGAGCTTCCCCAGTAGATCCGTCTAGAATTCCCATCTCAGGCTCTGCTCCTGGCATCCGGAAATTTCCACTAATGGAAATTATCCAGCCAAGTCAGGATGAAGTTTCCCAGCCAGTTACTGATGCTCCACTGCCCAGAGACACCTGGTTAATAATGACATTCATGAAATTATTTAGCATTGCAGAGCTTTAGGACATCCCCTGGCATATAGTAAACCCCCAGTAATGGCCAGCCATTGCTGTCATATCCCCAGTGTTTTTTTTTTTCTCTATTTAACAGCAATTTAATTGAACACGTGCCATGTGTCAGGCACTATTTTAAGTATATTTCATGCATAACTCGATCTTCGGAACAATCCTATGGAGTGGCCTCTGTTGCAAATGGGACAAACTGAGCATCAGAGGGGTTGATAACAACCCCAGGGTTACTCAGAAAACAAGCAACAGAGCTGGGCACATTGTGCATCTGTCTGTGTCACATTTCAGGCCTTGCTTCGGTTCATGTTGTGGCCAAATGCTGAAGCTCAAGGTGGGACACGTTGGGGAATTGTGAAGAGCTACAAGTCAGTGCAGCGATTCATCTGGGGAATAACGGTCCCCTCCTCATCCCGCTCATCAAGTCCCGGGAAACCCTCTCAGGTGGTTCCTCTCAGAATGGTTTCACTTCTTTTCTCTTGTCCAAATCCGAACTGTGATGCACACCGAGTCTCACCTCTCCCGAGAGAGAGTCTGCCCTCCTGTGTTTATGACAGCACCATTCACAGCAGCCAAAGTGTGGTAGCCACGAAATATCCATCCAGGGACCAAGGAATTGCATTGTGCTCTCTGCGCATAGTGAAAGTTCATTCAGCTTGAAGAAAGAGGAAACCCCCGAGCGTGCAGTGAGGAGAACGAGCCCAGGAGACATCGTGCCCAGGGAAATGAGCCAGTTGGGGAAGGGAAAATGTGGCAAGGTTTCCCTTACCAGAAGCATCAGACTGCTCAGCTTCGTGGAATCTAGTTGGTATCAGAGGCTGGGGGAGAGACGCCTAACTGTTAATTCTGTGATGAATTTCTGCAGCCCTTTTTGGATACACAAGTTATTTCTTCCTCCAAGCAATTCCTGCTGCCATGTGCCCCGACTCACTCTAAGAAGACAGCATGTGTTCATTTACTGATGCATTCGTGCCTTCAACCTGGCAGCCTGCATCTGAGGACTTGCTTATTCATTACTCTCTGGCATCTTCTCTGGTGCCTGCTATGAGACAGATTATTATTATTATTGCTATTATTATTGCTATTGTTTTTTTGAGACAAGGTCTCACGATGTAGTGGAGACTGACCTGGAACTCACTATGTAGCCCAGGCTGGTCTCGAACTCACAGTGATCCTCCTGCCTCAGCCTCCCGAGAGCTGGGATTCCAGGCGTGCGCCACCACGCCCGGCTAAGGCAGATTATTGATTAAAATACGTTGATGGTGCAGATACATTGATGAATTATTGTTTTGGAGTGTGAATCCTGTCTGTGTCTCCATTGTGAGGTCACTGAGATCGAGACCCAGTTTATTATTTCTCTGGCCCTCCTTGTGCTTAGCAGATGTTAGATTCAAGGCAAAAATCTGCACAGAACTGAATTGCAGTTGTCTAGCTGGAAGGATAGGTTATACTTTGGTCTTGCTCAAGGAAAAGGACAGCTCTCTATCAAAAGCAGGTCGTCCCATGTGAAAGTCTACATGGAGCCAGCAGAATCTTTAATCCCTGAGCCCGGTGCATGACTGGTCACATGTGTATTGTCTTCATAACTTCGTGTGACCAAGTGTCCTTGACTTGACCTTGTGGGAATCTGTAAACCGAGGGCTTGAGAAGGGATGCTGTGGGGGGCGGGTATGGCCGAAGAGCTCCATCAGCAATTCCAGGACCCCAGAGCATTGCAGGGAGCTAAGAGCTGGTGCTGCAGAGAGCCTTGCTGCTCCTCCAGAGACAGACTGTGGGGCTGGCACTGTGCCTGCTGGGCAGGAAGTGGGAAGCCCAGAGGCGGGCTCTGGGTCTACACCTGAGCAGTGCCAGTTTCCTTTCTTCAACTTGTTTTCAACAGGAAGCTTCATCGGCAGCTGCAGGCGAGCCAGAGGAGACCTGGACACTGCTTTGTCCCCAGAGGTACTTATTTAAAGCTGACTTTTAAAAATGCACCAAGGAACTTGTTATCCAGGGCACCCTGGGGACTACTTACCCAACATGAACTCTCTGACCCCCTCAACCTCCAACTCTTTTTGTAAACACGTAAACATGTGATGTATGGGAGCTCATTTTGAAGAAATACATTTATCTGCACCAGTGCAAGGCTGTGAGGTGCAAGGGGTTTGAAAAGTCCATGAGTCTCTGGAGAATATTCCAGCCTGGCTTTTTAATAGAGATGCCCAGATGGGTTCAAGGTCAGTCTAAGGGCTGCTGAGTACGTGCTGCTTGAAGCCAGAAGAGATGGGACTCCTTGTGTTGGGCCAGGGTTGGAACAGGGTACAGAGAAATCCTGGAGCTCACAGCTGTAAGAAGTGCTTGTCCTCTCTTAATTTTGTTTATTTAAGAAGAGAAAAAAGAAATCCACATGTCTCTTTGAAGTCTGGTGAGGCTGTTTTCACTGTGCACAGAGAAAGCCTATGCTTGTTACTGGAATGCTGGCCTCGCCGAGGCCGCATACTGTCCTTGGATTTAATGCCTGCTTTGCATTTGGAAGAAAGATTCATTCATTCCTGTGCCAGGAAGTAAATAATCCCATTGTCTCCCTGCCCAAATTGTTCCAAGACTATCTTTTTTCTGAGTCCCACAAGCCCAGATAGCATCTTGCTTGGCCCCACAGCGTGATCGCCAAGGCTCAAGGGACCCTTTCTGGTCGGGGGCGGGGGGTGTTCTGCTGTGATGTTTTGTGGCACAGAGCAAGAACCCCACCCCTTCACAAGGTCTTTGAACCTCTGTGATTGTCAACCCCGACTTCCTGTCATCCCCGTCCTTGGGCGGGCAGGCTTGTCACTGAGCAGGCAGAGAGCCAGGAGCCCTGGGCAGGGGCGGACATGACCCAGGGGGAGGTGTGGAGCCGCTCTTCGTGTTGTGACAGCTTCCTCCCTGAGTTCCCTGAGTACTCACAAGAATAAAGGCCTATTTAATTAAAATGAACACAGAAGTGTGAAGAAATAATGGGCAAAAAGGTTCCGAGGAAGTTAGTTGTCTCTTCTGAATAACACCCTCCCCAGGGGCTGTGGCCCAAAACACATTCCTTTTTCCTTCCTAACAGTGTCCTCGTGTGTTTACAGCATCTCTCTCCCGCCATCAGGGAAGTGACCATGTTGCCTTTCCCACGTCCTTTTCACATCGTTCCTTCCTCCCAGACCTCCATCTGTCCCCGTGGGCCCTGCCCCACCAGCCACGCGGCCTCCAGCCTAGGGGGCAGCAAGGAGAAGCTGCGACCCCTCTCCTTTCCTCTGTGGTCAGGCGGAGCAGCCTTCCTCTGGAAACCACTGGTCTCTCCTCTTGGGTCCCCATCTACATGAATCCTGCAGGAACTTGTTCCAACTTATTTCTGCTCTGATTGTTTCATCCTTTTCTCCCCGAACCTCGGACCGTGCAGGCTTTTGTTTGCAAACTCTGCATTGGATGACAAACATGGCCCCAGCTGTCTTTCCCGAA